CTTGTTGTGAGATGAAGACACTAATCTTATTGAAGCTTTTCTTGTTGTTAGTTTATCTATTTAATTATACATATGTATATTTATTTATTTATTCATATATATATTTATATGTTTATATATACTTGTTATGAGTAAATAAATAAATAAATATATATATATTTATTTATTTATTTATTTATTTATACATTATATGTTTATATACACTTGTTATGAGATGAAGCCACGACCCAACTTGAAGCATATTTTACATCTATAGAAAATATAAATAAATAAATTAGCGGATTACGAAGTAGACAGATAAATTAATTGAGTGATAAATAAACAAATAAACTAATTTATTTATCTATTATTTATATACTATATATATTTATTATTTATTTATTATTTATTTATTATCTGCAGGAGAAGGGTACACCTGGGTTTCATACCGAAGCAATAAAAGGCAAAGCGTCTCTTCGAGGGGTAGAAAACGCAGATATAATTTTATCAAATTGTTTTGTTAGCGCTGCAAACAAATTACAAACAGGAGGCTTCACTCAGCACACCAAACATATTCTCGAGTCATCTCGCGCACTCGTCGCTGCTGGATGCACAGGGCTCCTGATTGGTAATATATATATATATATATATTTATTTATTTATATATGTATATATATATATATATATATATGTACATGTATGTATGTGTGTATGTATATGCTTGATGATTGTTTGTTTACATGTGGATATGCATTTATGCATGCGTTAATTAATGCATATATGTGAATATATTTATAATATATATATATATATATGTATATACATATGATATGCATACAATACATATAATACACATAATATATATTAGATATAAAATACAAAGTTTAAAATATAAGAGATATATATAGAATATACAATATATATATTATATTATATATTTTTATATATATTTATATATATATATTTATTTATTTATTTATTTTATCTATTTGCAGGTGCCTTCGACAGTTCTGTGAATTACTGCAGCCGCCGTCTTCAATTTGGCCGCCCTCTGGCAAATTTTCAGTTAGTGCAGGAGCGACTAATGAGAGCACTCGGAATTGCACATGTAAGCAACAAACTTCTACTCAGCCTGCTGCTGCTGCTGCTGCTGCTGCTGATGCTGCTGCTGATGCTGATACTGATGCTGATGCTGATGCGGGTGCTGCTGGTGCTGCTGATGATGCTTATGATGATATATTTATCTGTACATATATATGTATATATATCTACATAAACATATGTATATATATATATATATATATGCATAAGCAAGCATACAAAAGATATATATATGTATATATACAAATAAACATATATATATATATATATATGTGTATATATATACAAATCAACATATATATATATGTATATATACAAATAAACATATATATATATATATATATATTTGTGTGTAATTGTTGCAGGGTTGTTTATCACTGAGTTTGCAGTTGGGGCGTCGGTTGGACAGCGGATTTTTATCGCCTGCTTTGATTTCGCTGATCAAAGGCACGACGTCGCTGTGGAGCCGCGAGGCTATCAAATTGTGCAGAGAGGCTATGGGCGGCAACGGCATCCTGCTGGGGCTTCAAACAGCTAAAGCACTCGCAGATATCGAGGTATTGTGCTGCAACACCACATGCTCCTGCTGATGCTGCTTATCCTGCTGCTCATGCTCCTGCTGATGCTGCTTATCCTGCTGCTCATGCTCCTGCTGATGCTGCTCATCCTGCTGCTGCTGCTCATCCTGCTGCTCATCCTGCTGCTCATCCTGCTGCTCATCCTGCTGCTGGTGCTCATGATGATGCTGCTGCTGCTGCTGGTGCTGCTCATGATGATGCTGCTGCTGCTGCTGGTGCTCATGATGCTGCTGCTGCTGCTGCACATGATGCTGCTGCTGCTGCTGCTGCTGCTCCCCTTGCTGCCGCTGCTGCTGCTGTTGTTGCAGTAGAAGAGCCGCAGCAAAGTATGTTGGTGGTGCTGCTCCTGGCGTTCAGCCCGCTGCTCGATGGTGTTTACGTGTATTTCATTTTTATTTTTTCTGCTGTCTTGTCTTTCTATTTCTGCTTCCTTTGTTTACTACAACAGACGTGAACTGCATGTTGTTGCTACTTTTGCTTCTGCTGCTGCTGCTGCTGCTGCTGCTGCTTCTGCTGTTGTCGCTGCTGCTGCTGCTGTTGATAGGCGCTGTACACATATGAAGGGACATACGACATCAATATGTTGATTGCCGGACGCGCAGTTACGGGTTTGAGTGCTTTTAAATGAAATATTCATTTGTTTAAATGCATTTGGGGTGTATAGGCAGCTTGGATATGCATGCTTTGCCTCACTGACAGCCATTCTTTATTTATTGTTTTCTTTTGCTGCTCTCTTTGTTTAAAACTGCATTTAATTATAATACAGCTGAGGCAAAAGACGCCTAAAAAGCAGCAAAAGTAAAGCGAAGAAAAAATAATTAAAATTAAGTTTTTTCGTTAATGCGACTGCCGCCTCAAACCCCTGCTCGCCTTCTCCTGCAACCCAATCCATGCAACAACAGCAGCAGCTGCTGCATCTCCAGCAGCAGCAGCAGCAGCAGCAGCAGCAGCAGCAGCAGCGGCTGTAGCTGTAGCAACTGCAGCACCTGGCCCAGCAGCAGCGCCAGGGAATGCTTTGACTCCTTTCTCTCTCCTTTTCTCTCTTTCTCTCTCTCTCTCTCTGTATATATATATATAAATATATATAAATATATATATAAATATATATTTATATATTTATATATATATGCAAATAGATGTATGTCCTTATATATCGATGAATCTGTCTATAAATGCCTATATGCGTGTATAGATATGCATATACATATATATATGCATATCTATGTGCGTATA